AAAAACCAGTCACACCACCTTCCACAGTGGCCCTAGCTTCCTGTGTGAAATGAATAAGAGACATGATTTCAGGGCACCCTCTCTCAGTAGTCACTATCTCACTATGTTTTGCTTGTCTTTCTGTTGCATAGATGATGGTTGTGATCATTGAGACCTTAATTTTCTTTTCTTTAACAGCTGGAAGGCTGAATGACTCCACTGAATTTACTTGTCATCCACAAGTGCTTGATTACAACAGGAAGGAGGATGCCAAATTCACGGCGAGGTGAAGTGAAATATCTTATGTTGAAATGCATTAAATAGCTCTAACCTACCAGTCATCAAGGTTAAGCCTACCTGACTTGAAACGTGGCCAGAGCATTGGTATAAGCCAGTGCTAATATACAGTTGGGCAAAACCACCTCCCAAAAAACTATTTTATAAGATCATGTGACTTAATGGACTCAGTACACACAGTACAGAGTATCCACTGTGTTTATGCTCCTGTGGGTACTGGAGTTGCAGCTCACTGCTGATGCTCAGTACAGAGTGAGCGTAGCACACCATCCACCAGTAGCCCCAGACAAGAGTAAAATGCAAAATTGAAAGTGCACTTTCAAATGGATGCAACTAGCTTGAACATCATTTGACTTCAGGAATATGGGTTTAGCGCTTGCCTGCACAGGTGAGTTCTAAATGTCAATTCCAGCATCCTGAGTGGAGACCACCTGTAGTGGTACAGCTTTTCAGTCGCTTCTTGTGTGCTGCATGGCCCTTGGTAGACAGCGTGTGTGGTAGCTATAAGGGTCCTATCATCTAAATTGCTAATCTATGCTTGAGGAGTCACTTTGTAAACAACTGAGGAGAGGCAGGGGTGGGAAAGGAGGTCTTCCCCAGGGGGACTGGTTGTCCAGTACCAAATTATCACCCCAAAGGCAGACAAACGCACATATATGACTATAGTTAGGCGTACGTATGTATATTATACACATATATACATGCAGTAACAACTAGTAAAAAAGGGACCATGGATTTGGAGAGTGGGAAGGGGTATATGGGATGGTTTAGAGGAAGGACATGGAAGGGGAAATAATATCTAAAAAGAAATTTTTTATAGGACAAAAAGTTATTTTACTATTTCTTTATTGTTGTTTAAAACAGGATTACCTGTTTCATTTCTGAGACATTTCTTTTTTCCTTTTCAGTCTTACTGGCAGTTTGCCAATTTTATTCATCTTTATTTTTTAAATGGATTATGTCATTGATTTTTTTTTCTTTCTTTTTTTTTTTTTTATTGGTATGGCCTGTATTTTCAGCTTCATTGATTTCTCCCCTTGTCTTCATTATCTGCTTTCTTCTGCTGCCTGAGCCTGCCGGGTGATGTTAACAGTGTGGCCATGCCTGTCACCAGCTGGGAAAGGAAACATTTTTAGTTTCCTAATCTAAGGTTGATCCGAGACTTTTTCTCTTTCCTAATGTGCGAATCTAAGGCCACAAATGTCTCTCTTCATGTGGCCTTTGATGAATACTAACAGGCTTTGATATTTTTCATTTTCTGTCAAACATTTTAAAGACTTTTCCCTTAGTTTTCTCCTTCGCTTACAGTGTGTGGGGTTTCACAGTATCTCCTCTTTGTTGTTATTGTTGCTTCAAGAGCGTCTTGTTCATTAGTTCAGTATAACCTCAAATTTGCAGTAACCCTCCTGAGCTGCTGCGTGATTAAAGGCTGAGTCACCACGGCCAGCTAACTGCTGCCCTTCTCTCTGCTTGTTGTCAGGTACCGAGAGATGGGTGCTGAGGTTTTGGACAGAAATTGTAGATTTGCTGTTGGTCCTGTCGGTGACTGAGAATCTCCTGGCGTACTTTGCAACTCACTCATTTTTTGCCTGTATTTTCTTGGAGCACCGATTGTTTTTATTATTGCCCAATGTGCCCTTCTGTGTGGCAATTGTCTCCACTTGACACCCAGGAGATCTAATACCAGTACAGCCTCCCCCCGCTTCCTTTCGGCTCAGCTTTTTGCACGTGGCATACGTTTCCAGGCCTTATCTTTCAGCTTCTCATGAGCAGATGGTGGGGTTCGTAAGTATCTATGTTCTGCAAATGCCTGTGTTGTTGAGAGTCTACTGGGGTTTACAGTGTTATTGATAGTGTTAAAGCCCGAGCCTGCAAATTATTTCTTGTTTTCTGATTCTTCTTGCTGTTTTTTGTTTGTTAGTTTGTTTCTCTTTCCTGCGTTACAGGGGAGTAATTAGAATGAAAGACCCCGAATTTATAGAAATAAAATATAAGCTTAAACAGGGAGGGCACCCCACTAGAGAACTTGGGAAGTGAACAAAGGACCCCATCCCAGGAACTGGCCAAACCACAGAATGGAATGTATGGTTTAGCAACCTTAATTGTAGAAGGGCTGTAAACCCACAAAAGGCCAATTCCGGGCTGCTGACCAACTGTGAAGAACTGACCAGGGTGTCGGAGATGGGCAAACAAGATTTGTGGGAACCACAATTTACTTAGGGAAAGATGATTAACTCATATCAAGGTTTGAGGAATTTACAACGTGTAGGTCAGGAAGACATCTACTTCCCCTGGTCAGTAGTCACGTACCACCCCCTCATCCCCTCACCTCCCTACCCCCCCACCCCCTACCCCGTCACAAGATAGGGACCCCTCCCAAAGGCTTGTGGTTTTTGTCTTTAAAAGCTGATTGTAACTGAACCTCGGGGCCAATCGGTCTAAAAGCTGACCGAGAGGCCCATCTGCAGATGCCTAATCAAAGCCTCTTGCGTGTTGCATCAATTGGATCATGGACTCTTGATCCTTGGGGTGATGAATCCAGCTTGGGGACCCCTCCTCAATTCGGGGTACCCCAACAAGAACACTGATAATTTTGTTGTCTGGCAATTTCATACATGTACAATTTACATCATGCCTTCTCCCAAACACGTTTCCTCCCCCCCCCCCCATCCCATCCCATCAACTAAGTTTCACTGTATCTATACAAATTTGCCACAGGCCTTACACAGCTCATTACACGTTATGTGGTCTAAATCTACTATTGACCTTTTACCAGCTGAAGTGAATTATGGGAACTGTGTTCTTCGATGTCCTTTCCATTGCACTGGTAAGAATCCTCAGTCTTTGCATTTGTATCACATTGACAAGCAGTGCACGGCTGCAGTTTGTGCTTTCCCAAGCACAACAGACACATGGAAATGTTGGTTTATCTGTGGTCACTGCTCCTGTCTACTATTCCTCCTCTCTCCCGTTGTTCAAAATCCCTCATCGCTCCCTTTCTACTTTCTTTACGCATCCTTTCCAGGTCGGCCTACTAGTGCTGGAGGTGCTTAGTTGTCCCTCATGGAATTTCAGTTGTCTTTTCCTGTGAAGCCAGGGATTTTACACAGCTGGCCAGTGCTCTACCACTGAGCTTCATGCCCTGTGGTCCTCCACTTCGAATGCCCTGCCTGTCTTTGCATTGCTGAGGGAACATTTCCAGACATACAGAATTCTGAATTGCCAGTGCGAACCTGATTCCAACATTGACACTTCGGCTGGCATGCTATGGCCTCGTACCACAAACCTGCTGTTGTTCAGTCTTGTCCTTTCCCAATAGATACTGGAGACCACCTCGGTCAAAATGATTGTCTTAGGGCAAGAGCCATGGCTCACTAGTTCAAAGGGCCTGATGCACTTCCCCAAAGCCAGAGTTCACACATCTTGTCACTTCACACACACTTGCAACTGGCTTCAGGGGGTTCAATTTCCTCTCGTGCCTTTGTAAGAACATGTTTGCATGGTTTTGATCACCATGTATCTTGCTGCCTATTTCCATGTAGTTATTGTTTGAGGTTTCCTCACTTTTGTGACTATGTAAGTAAATACCACTGGCCAAATAGGTTCAATTTACTTAAAAGTTTGGCTTAGTTCTGTTTGGGGAACAGGGTCTGTTAGTCAAGACTGGCTTCCAAACTCACTGTCTTCTACTTCAACCTCCTGACAGCTGGTTTAGAGTCATACACTACAACAACCAGTTTGAGAAATTTTAATAGTAGTCTTTGAGTAAAGTGAGAATTTATAAGGCCTAATATTATCAGCTGCAATTACCAGGAGATAAGATATAATAATAATAGGCAAATATACAATAATAGTAAAATACAATAAGAAAATTAAAAATATGTCTGTTCTGGATATCTACAAGTTGACCAACAGTCTAAAGTAATCAAAATACAAATACTTGCTGCCTATAAACTGGCCTCACATACTAGGGATGATAAATACTTGTTTGTTAGCTATTAATCATGCTGGTATGTAGTTACTTTGATAAAGAATCAAATAGAATATGTAATAAACTTATAGTATGTTACTTAATATTTAATATTTTAGGTATTAGATTCACTATTTGTCCTATTTCAGAGACCGACTCTTTTATAACATTATTTCCATAGAATAATTGTTTTCAAAAATCTAGTTTAATATAAAAACTTGAAGCATTTTGCAACAATTTTTGCTGAGTCAATCTAAAATGATAATGAAAAGCAGAAAGGAAATTACCCAAGAAAACAAGCAAATTTAATCTACTCACCAATTTCAGTTTAAATGCTTTTTTTAAAAGTCATGGTCACAGTTGTAATTTAAATTTTCAAAACTTTCTGGTTGCCTTTCAATTTAATGTGATAAAATAGACTTGACTAAGTCTTCTTTGTCTTAATCTGGCGACCAATGAGTTGTTTAATAAGACTCAAAATTTTTTGGTACTCAAAGAAAAATGATCTGTTTTCTATTGTCTAGAGCCTATGTAACCACCTTTAAATCATTAAAAATGAAAAAAAAAATGGGCTGAAGGTAGCTTAGTGGCCAGGACTGCTTACTTCTCTTGCAAAGAACTAGAGTTTAGTTTTTCAGTACCCAATCTGGGAGCTCATAACTGCCTGGAACTATTACAGCTCCAAGAGATCCCAGGTCCTCTTCTGGCCTCCATAGGCACACACACCCAGACACACAAATACATTCCCCGATACTTAGTCTTCCACTGAGGACATTTTATTGAGTTTCATTGCATGTTAACTCTATATGCAACATGGAAATTTTTACAATGTTCCTGTATTGACATTTTTGTGTTACATAATGTAGAAAGTCAGCGATGAGACTCTAAACACACATGTAAAAGAAACTCAACTATTAAAAATATAATCATTGATCCTTGATTTAAGCAAAACTAAACATGTATGGTCAAATATCTATTTTAAAGGGTAAAAAATATAAGCAGCTATTCTTTTTGTAACATTAAGTAGCATTACAGCTAACTATGTATGCAATAAATCTATTATTTTCACAACTTACCAATAAACTTTAGAAAAATAGTGTACTAATTTTCTGAAGTGAGAATTGTATAATTAAAAAAATGCTTTAAAACAGAAGACACCAGACAAAAACAGTATTTGTAACCTACACTCTGGGCAGGTTTCCATAGCAGGTTCACACTGAGGTACAAAGGAATAAGAAATGCAGACTATAAAGCGTGTGTGGGACTAAAAGTACTCTGTCCATTCTATTCATGTGTGATTTTCAGTTATTTCACAGGCAAATTTGATAATAAAGGCATAATCCGTCATTCCGGACTCACTGGATTCACACAAACATGGCTGGTATACCACGTGATGTAGGAGGTTCACAAATCCAAGGGAACTGGCCTGCTCATCCACGTAGCAGCAGAAGCAAGGTCTTCCCCGACAACTTCTCTTACAACCCCTGCATCCAACTTCTGAATGCGAGCACACCAGTCACACTAAGATACTTAAGTAAAACTTAAAGCTGAGTAAATGACGCTTTATAGGCAACGTCTCCCCAGTGGCACTCACCTGACACTGACTGAAAATGGTGATTTCCCTGCATTAGCTAAAACTGCCTTATTTCCTTGAAAGTTTCTGTCAATCATTCCAGCTTGCTGCTGCCTGTGAGACCACCCACAGAGCAGCCTCTTCCTCTGCAGGCGCTAACGTGAGCAACCAGAGGGCCTGCTTTCCGCATGTCTGGGTGAAGTTATACATAGCAGCTTTTTTTCATTTTCAGTGTCTGGAGGATACATTTTATGGTCATTCTTCTCTACTGACAAATACAACCAGAAAAAAAGTCATAAGTATGTGTTGATGCACCAGTACAGGGACACAAGAACGGCAAAGTGTGGGTCCCAACCACAGTAAGATTATGGAACTTGTGCTATGACTTATCACCTAAGAGTGAAATTTAAAACAAACAGATAAAACAAGGAGCCGGGAGGTGGTGGCGCACACCTTTAATCCCAGCACTCAGGAGGCAGAGGTCAGCCTCATCTACAGAGAGCTCCAGGACAGGCTCCAAAGCTATGTAGAGAAACCCTGTCGCAAAAATCAAACAGAGGATAACTGACAATGGCCTCGCTTTCTAGGACGTATACAACCAGCCGTTCAGAGATGTTGAACAAAGTAGGTCAAGTCAGACGAGGATAAATTGTGTGTGTGTGGGGGGGGGTGCGTTGCGTGGTTTCCTTAAGGTCTCTGACCTGGAGTTTGTGCATTGATTAAAAGACAGAGGACTGTTTTTATGACATGAGATGGATTGAGGATTAAACAGGACACTTCACAGCATGTGTTAAAATGAGTGCCTAGCACGCGTGCCACGTTCAACAGATGTCAGTTGCTAGCATTAAATAAACAGGATGAGTCTTTTGTGGGGAATTGACTGGTAACCCGTTCAAGTCACTGTCAGATCCAGAGCAAATAAAGAGGGATACAGTTTATGTGTCTTTCTCGCTGTGACAGACTAGGATAAGCTCAAGAGTAGCAAGCTGTCATTAAAGTAGTAAGTGCCTAAGTGTTGTAACTTAGAATTCCAAAGTAATCAAGTCTTTCACTTTTACCTATTCTATAAATATCTCAGTGCAAAAAGAGAAAAAAAAATCTCATTGCACACTACGGCAGGTCATCACGCCGTTCTATGAACACCGGAGCTCATACCTGGGCTCACCTTTTCTGGAGCTGAACCAGATTGGCTTAATGACAAAGGGCCTTTTTCATATGGGGAAGTTTACCATAAGGCAAACAATCTGACAGGAAAAAAACTAAGTTCCTCAAAGATGAGGACCAGAAAGAAACAAATAGGTAGGAATGACAGGGTTATTTTTCTTTTCCTTCTTTTGATCAATTCGATGAAAAGTATGCTTTCAATGCTCAAAATATAACAATAAGCCTTTTTGTAACACGCAGCTGTTAATATTAAAATTGAGATGTTCAAAGACGTACAAAACTTGGCAAAGTGGAATGGGTATGTTAGTGGAGTGACCACAAATGCCAGTTCTGTGACATACAAGGAAATATAATCATTAAAATCCTCCATACTTAGAGCCAATGTGTTACCTTATTGAATAAAGGGTAAAAATTAGGGTTTTGTGCATAATGACCATGTAATTTTTAAGGGGTGCAGGAAGTAAAACCCATCGGAATAGGTGTGATGTACACTGTACAACAGTTGAAGAATTTATATAACCTGCTTTTCTAAATTTTCCTTTGCAATTCTAATTCTCACAATTAAAATTGGTCTTCTAAAAATAGGTATACACATTTCACACCACCTATAACATTCTCCCTGTACTAAATCCAGGGCACAGAACTGAAAGTCAGAATCCAGAAAGGAAACCAACCACAAAGAAACACGGAGTTGTGAGTACATGAGACAGTCCCTACTTCACCGATATGAGTTTCTCCTAAACCTGAACATACTGAAGGCTAACGTTGAATTAATGGGATGGGGGAAACATCAGAGACACATTCAGGACTAATCCAAGACAATGGAGGGAGTTTGCTAACGAGGTGAAGTGCAACACTAAGAAATGGGCAAGGATGAGCTGGCATAAGGTTTGGCCCCAAACCTGACACGACACATGAGATCTTCTGTTTAATTAGAAAGACTGAGAAACACCGTGAAAAATGGGAAGATGGACAATGAGGCCAAGGTAGGGAAACCTACACTGTAACCTTGCAGATGGTGAAGGTGAGGTGGAGTTGCTTCTGGCAGGATTAATAACAGGCTGAGGAAAAGGGACAGATTCCTAGCCAATATAGAAAACATCATAAACAATTTTAGATTTGAGCCTGAAGGACTAGTTAGCTAGGGAAAAAAAGAAAAATTGAAAAAGGAAACATATTTTAATGTAAACTGAAATTAAGATTATCTGGAAATTCTATGGCATCATTACAACTAATTATTATGTTGAAGACCCATCAACTGGAAAGATGAATGGAATCTCCCAGGTATTTACTATATAAAGTCAGGGTAGTTTTCCTGTTTCATTTCGCCTTTTTTTCCCCAGTCAATTTACAATTGGTAATTAGACAATCCATTCATCGCCTCCAAGAGGCTAGTTAGTAGAATCGTTTCATTTTAATCTAATAGGGATGGAATCATTTTCCAAAACTACTCCAGAGAGACCCTGAAATGCCAAAAATCAAAAATATTTGAGAACTTTTTCTACCTGAAGTTACTGAGATAACTTATATTTTATAAGTATTTCAGATTATTTTCCCTTTGGGTAGGTTTTTTTTTTTTAAGGAAAACAATTTCAACATAGAAAGTTAGTGGTGGCAAAGCAAATGGATGAATCCTGCAAGCAAAGTTACTTGTTGGGGTTTTGTATGTATCCAATCAGTTACACTGTTTTGAGTGGGACTTGCTCTCTGAATTCAAAATGTTTACACTAATTATACTGGTTGCCATGAGCTCATCAAGATGATCTTGTCAAATTAAGCATGAATTAAAGCAAAACAAATGTGTGGTTAGATGAGACTGAGGGAAAAAATAGGACATCTACTACCAAGAGGTGAATTCTAGTTCAGTAAAATCTACATGTGCAGTTAACATGTATTAAAAAAATACTGAATTTTGTTGCATCAGCAAAATAGAAAGCAGCTGCCATAACTATTTTATACGTATTGCTTTAGCTAGTGATATTGGTGAACATTAGTCAAGATGTTACAGAATTTTCCCCACACAATTTGATACTTTTCTTAGTGCACAAGGCATGTACTTCTAGTTTCCATTGATAATCAGTGGATTCTTTTTACACAACCTCTAATCCCTCCATCCTCAAGAACCATGGATTTCTCTTCCTACCATATCCCAAGTTGGTCCCTCTTTATTTCTTATTGTCCTTAATCCTGTTCTCAGGAAGCAGTGTGTCACACGAACCTGGCAGCACCAGTGATACTAATCTACAATCCAGGCATTACTTTTTGTATTTCATTTGAAGCCACTGACAACTGGCTATGTCCATTTGAAGTTGAACTAATCTGGTTGTATTGAGTTTATAAAATATCTCAGTCCTGTCTGTAATGAAATTCTTCCACTTTTAAAGTTGAGTCTAAGGCATTTGCAGCAACTTAAAAATAATACACTAATACTCCTGGTTATTAGTCAGAGAAATCAGTATTGGAAAGCAATAATAATGCATTTCTATACATTTAGACACCTATGGTACCAGAAACCAAATAGCAAATAAAGGTACCCAGAAACGATGAGCCACACACAAAGGCATGCAGGTAGCCGTGACGCGTGCTGTGACCACATAGATCTGCACTCTGAAACATCAATACCAGGAGGACATGAGGTTCAAACCTCAAGGCAAAGAACGAAGAAAAAATGTCCTACTTAAGACCAAGAAGCACTTTGGCTTTGAGTAGAAAAAGTGGTAATGAGTGTGATAAAGACGAGAAGAGAAGCCTCGGTGTTGATACTGACTGTGGGCAAGCATATAATTTGCACCCCCTTATTTTACACCATGATTTATGGAGCAAAGGTATATCACAGTGAAGAGACTGCAGAGTAGCCACCATTATTGAAAGCAGTTTCTATTTCCTAGGGAAAACACTTTCAATACCACAGAAGGATACACTTCACATAAAAACTGTTAATAAATACTTCTACAGGTAATTATGCATGATTGGGGAAACACTTTTAAGACAACTGACAAAAGCTCTCTCTTTCATAAATTCTTTGGTAAATAAACAGGTCTTGAAGTGATATTTATTTGTGGATTATTGACTGATTTTGCTGGTGTCTATTCTCCGTCCCTGATCTCCTAGACCAGGATAAAATTATCTAGGTTACAGCTCACAGAACACATTTGAAACTTGCTTTAATGAAAAGCAATTACAAAATTAAAATACATCTTTAGGTAGGAGATGGCCTATATTGTTTATAAAACTACTGCTATGCGTGTTGAGGAAGTTTTTGTCTTTTAAAATCTAAAATCGCATGTTCTGGAAAGGAAGCTGAAATACAAACTCTTTGTACATCTTCAAGGTGAAATGTTCTTTTTTATTCATTGTTCGATGGATTCCTGGAGTAAACAAAAGAGAATGAAGCCGTTACTGCCATGCTAACCTGTAATAACTTCCTATCATTTCAGCAAAGCAAAGGAGGGCTAGAAATTGAGTTCGCTATCTATTGGCAAAGCAAGTTCTAACATTGATGAAGTAAAGACAACTATGAATCAATGATGGAAATTACCTATGACAGATGAATTCATTGACTCGACTATATGGAAGTATATGAGACTAAAAATCAAATAAAGAAAGTTTGAGTTGAGATTTTTTTGTTTTATTTTGTTTTCAAGACAGGGTTTCTCTGTATTGTTTTGGAGGCTATCCTGGAACTCGCTCTGTAGACCATGCTGGCCTCCAACTCAGAGATCCGCCTGCCTCTGCCTCCTGAGTGCTGGGATTAAAGGCGTGTGCCACCAACACCTGGCTTTGAGTTGAGAATTTAAAAGTTACATGAAATCTTTAAAAGAAACTAACCCAAGGTAATAAAATACACACATATGTATATTTTTATATGCACATTTATATAAATACATGTGTATATGTGTATTTATTCAAGTAAATATATGTATATTTATATAAATAAAGACTATGAAATAAAGTGATTATGGTGTTATAAGACTGTAATCACAGCACTCAGGAGGCTGAGACAGGAGAATTACCATCTATTCTCTGGTAGAAAAGGATATCATTAATTTTTATGTAAGTCAATATTTTCTCCTATTGCTATGTAAGCAAGTATATTCAAGCACACAGTGAACTAGGTCTTTCATGAGTCTGAAAAGAGTAAGGGTTAATAGCCCAGTATATTGAATTTCACCTTTTCCTATAATTTAAGTAACTTACATTTTTTCTGAGCCTGGGGGCATTGTTCTCTATACCATTGCTATCATCCGATTTCCTGTGTCAAAAGCAAAAGGGAAAATCACCAGATGTTCATGACGAACAAAATTAAGTCATGCAATATTTATGCCATAGCTGGATGTCAACCCTTAAAATGTCAGAGCACACTGAATTCATTCTTCCTAACAGTGTTCTACTCCTGAAACCCCAAGCAAGAGCAGGTCCATGGGCATGTGTGCAACTGTTAACTCTCACATTGTCCTGAAACATGCAAGATAACAGTCAATCAGGAGCTTAGCCAATTTGTATGAGAGAAGCCATAATTTGATGGCTACTACATTAAATGAGAAGCTACATATGGCCCTTTGTATCAGAGAAAGGTTATTAAGTATGGGCATTCAATTCTTAAGCATGACTGCAGGAGAAAACCATTGAGCACAGAGAATACCAGTGGAGATGTAGGTTGGTCTATGCCCATAAGGCTCTCATCATAATCAACAAGTAAAGTCAGCCACCCCACCATGCATGTCAAAACTGGAGTGTAGAAAAGTCTTAAATGGTGGGACAATAATCCAATAAATGAGTTTACTCCTTGTTGAGTTCCTAGAGACAAGTCACCTTTTTTAATGGTGTGTATTTATTGTTATTATTTTAAATAATTTTACCAAGAAACTAAAAGACCAGGGATACCAAAACACATAAATATATACACAACATATCAGACATAACACATGAAAATGTTGTCTATGAGAAAAAATTAGTTTGAAACTAAATCAACTAGAGTATCTAAAATGAATTATAGCAAGGGTTTATCTGAATGAGCTTAAAATACCATTGTTCATTTACACTTAAAAGTAAAACACTGACATTGTGATGGCGGCCATGGAATAAAGGATGGAGAATGTGTGTGTTATTCCAATTTAAAATAAAGGGAATAAAATAACTTTTTATGTTACAGGTTAAATTATGTTGACATCACTTTTAAGATGTTTGAGGGGGTGCTGGAGAGATGACTCAGAGGTTAAGAGGACTGTCTTCCAGGGGTCCTGAGTTCAATTCCCAGGAACCACATGGTGGCTTACAACCATCTGTAATGAGATCTGGTGCCCTCTTCTGGCATGCAGGCATACATGCAGACAGAACACTGTATGCACAATAAAACGTGTGTAAGAGAACAAAACAAATTCTTTCAAAAGCAGCTGTCATACAATCCTAGGTGAGAGAATTTTATTGTGAAAGACGTATTTAGAAAATCCAGATGCCTAGTGAGAATCTAGTGAGGCCTGAACTTTGTTTTTTTTTCCTTTTTTCATTTGTCCTTGTATGGATATTTTGCCTGCATGCATATGTGCCATGCATGTATACATGCCTTTCATAAGGCAGACAGCACATCAGATCCTCTGGAACTGTTGCTATAGACTGTTGTGGACTGCCATGTGGCTGCCAGGAACTGAACCCATGTCCTCTAGAAGAGCATCAAATGCTCTTGACCATGAAGTCTAGCCTCAAGAACACTGTATATACTTAAGATGATTCCTCAGTCATCAAAAATACAAGCAAGGCAAAGAATCATCTAAATAAATGAATACATCTGGTTACTATGTACCAAAACCTGCAAATGTGTGTAGGAGCACCATGATGAACCCATTTTGCAGAGATGAAACCAGATACACCAAACAGTTACTGATGGAGAGGTAGACACTTCATTACCACAGATGTATCCAGAAAACAGAATGTACATCACTATATTCTTGTGGTTTTTTTGTTTGTTTGTGTTTGTTTCTAGCTGTAAACATTTCACTTAATTTCATATTTATCTGCATTTTACTCAAGTGAAAAAACTAAAAAATACTTACAACTGTTCGATTTGTTCAAATTCTTTCCCATTATCTGCATAAAGACAAAGGATATGACAATGAAGCATGCAATGCTATGTTTATGTTTACAAGTTCAATTCAATCTGCTCCCTAACAGTTTCCCATGAAAAGGAGAAAAGTGCCACCTTCAACAGGATGACAGACTGTTCTCTGATCAGAACTGTTTTATTTTTCAAAACTATGATGCCATTTAAGTATAAAAAATACATGGAAATCAGAAAAGAATACAATGTGTACTGACTGGTTTTGTGTGTCAGCTTGACACAAGCTAGAGCCATCAGAGAGTAAGGGGCCTCAGCTGAGGAAATGCCTCCATGAGATCCAGCTGTAAAGCATTTTCTCATTTAGTGATTAATGGGGGAGGGCCCAGCCCATGATGGGTGTTGTCATCCTTGTTCTGGTACTACTGGGTTCTATTTAAGAAAGCAGGCTGAGCAAGCCACGGGAAGCAAGCCAGTAAGCAGCACCCCTCCATGGCCTCTGCATCAGCTCCTGCCTCCATGATCCTACCCTGCTTGAGTTCCTGTTCTGACTTCCTCTAATGATGGACTATGATTTGGAAGTGTGAGTCTAATAAACCCTTTCCTCCCCAACTTGCTTTTTGGTCATGGTGTGTTTGTCTCAGTTACAGAAACCTTAACTAAGACAATGGGACATTTTTTATCAAGGGTTTCTCATCCAATAGCCCAACAGACATGGGTTTAAAACAACCACACTAATGCAACCTGGACTTTATGAGAACCTAGGATACTTGATAAAATACTATGTAATTCGAGATGGGGAGAGAACTTAGTCATACGGTGCTTGCTGTAGAAGAATGAGGCCCAAAGCTCAATTCCCAGAACCCCCACAGAAAACCAGGCAGGGAGAGGGAAACAGAGCAACCGTGGAGCTCAATGGCTGTCACTCTAGTAGTGAGCACCAGGCCACTGAGAGACTAAGCATCAAAGAGGAGTGTACAGCATTCCTAAGGATGACACTCAAGTTTATGCTCTGACCTGCAAATGCACACGGACACATGAGCCACCCCCCTGACACAAGTGATTAAAATGGATTACTTAAGTGGAAAAAAATCTGAGATCATTTATATTAAGAAATTCAGGTTTTCCCTCACAGTCCAATGTCAACACACATTCCTGAACTGGTACATCGTGGCACCAAGAGAAAAAATATTTTACTTTTAACACTAACATTTAGAATCCGGGCTCATAGACCATTACCATTATGGTTACAAACATAAATATTGGTCCAAATATGAAAAACTGAATTTGTTTACAAACCATCTTTACTTACTTTACGTGTATATATGCATTTGTATATTTGTGTATGTGCATCTTTATATGTGTGCATGCATTGTGCACACCATAGCCTGGGTGTGAAGGTTCAGGTGTCTGTCGGTCTTTGATTTGTGCCTTGACAGGATCTTTCTGCTGTTTTCCACTGAGTATACCAGGCTAACTGGCCTCCAAGCCTTCAGCGGTGTGCCGCCTTTACCTCCCTCCTCTATATAGAAGCACTAAGATCTCAGATGTTCATGCTAGGCACCTGTCTTTTTACACCGGCTCTGGAGGTTCTCACAATTATGCAACAGATACTTTTTATTCAAGGAGCCATCTATCTCCCCAGCCCTTCCCCAGAACTTGTAAGTGACTACATGTTAAGCCATACTACACATCATAATTAAGCAATAATGTAATAGAAAATGTAAGAAATCTTACCTGGGTCACTTCTTTTTTTCTGGGTGTACACTTCACAAAGCAGAATGATAGCCACTAAGAGAATAACTTCCGCAATTATCGCGAGAAACGGCTTGAGGGGCACCATGAAGCTCAGCACAACCAGCTCAACGTGTTCCAACTCACTCTCACCCAGGGGGAAGACTGCCCGGCACCAGTAGGAGCCTCCATCTTCCTCCAAGAGGTGCTTTACCCTGAGTCGTGTTTCATTAGCATGGGATCCATTTATAACATACTTATCATTCTTGTGAACATCAATAGGAACCTAAAGCAAGGAGACATTAAAATCCTTACATAATGCAGAAAGAGATACATGTCCCATGAGATCTAATTCTGGGCAAAGCTATAAGACAGAGCCAAGGAAACCATTTACTGGAAAGGGGCATATTAAAATTTATGAGTCAGTGCCGGAGGAGGTTGGTACTCCAGCAGGAAGCAAGGGAAAATGTTTACTCCACTGTGAGGACTGAGCCTTGAGTGTCTATAAATATATGCTTAGGTCGTCATTAGTAAATACTGGGTGAGAATTCAAGGCAGAAAATTTCCTGTCTTCTTTGCTTTCCTTTCTCACGGATGACCAGCTCTCCACAAGCAGAGACAGACACAAAAGGAAACAAAACACCTCTAAAGATATTATTCTAGTCACTCCTGATGATGTTCCACCTGACATGAGTTCCCTGCACTGAAGCTGCAGTTGAAATCGTCAAGGCTTCTTAGACGATGACCTCTAATGACCAGCTCTCTCGTCCTAGACCCCTGTTCCTTTCATATTCCACTATCTTTCTCTCCCAGGTAGATGGGCTTCTGGGAGCTGCTGGGTTTTCCTCAGGTTCACAAAGTCATACACACTTGGAAGTTGTTATACTTAATCTAAATTAAATTTAATACCTACACTGCTTTATCACTCTACTGCGATGCTCACTCAATAAATGCTAATCTGCATAAAATGTTCTCACCTTATCTGGAAGAATTCTCTACAAATGTAATTTTTTAATTGCCAAAGGGAGGAAAAATGACCGTGACCTATTTCTACATACACAGGCAGCACAGCCTATAATATTCATTACACAAACTATTCTATGAATCAGAGACAATAAATCAAAGGGCTGAGTCTTAAAGTACAGAGCCAATTGTGATACAGATGATGACTTAAATGTTGAAATGGTACTTGACCTAAAGTGTTGACCTGTGACCCCTTCCCTGGCCTCGTCTCGCAGCTAATTATGACAGGCTCAATGCCAAACGATCAGAATAATGAATCACACAGCAAACGTAGAAAACATCTTTAATCTAAGCTGCCTTGGGCTCTAGTCTGTTTGCTAACACACATGCCTGAATAAATTAAGCTATATATTCCAGACATCGCAACTGGTATTTGTTTTGACAATTCATATTTCAGAAACATTTGTAGATACCTGTCCTTGTCATCAGTAAGACAAAGGACAGAGGATTCATTGTTTAAGCTGAGCCCTGAATGATCTAGGGCTATTCTTGAAATACTAAGGCAATGTTATCACAGAAATAGACACATTCCTTCCCAGACCCTTCTTTTCTCGTCCTAGACAGCTCACCGCAGCACCAACTTTGTTCCGGTCAGAATTTAAGAACCTAGAACTACAGCCTTTCTTCAATAGGACTTTAATTTGAACACTCATTAGCATCGAGGCCTGAAAAGGGCACCCACAGTACCATGACGGAAGTTTCAAGCTCTTTGAAGTTTTCTGGGAAAGGACAGGAAGTCAGCGATAACTTACTCATTGAATATCCCTGTTTTCTTCATATCAGCTCTACGAAGCCAATCGTCTTAGATATATAAGCCTTGAAATCCACTTCTTTCCAGTGTGTGAAATACCCCCAAAGAGCTAATGACACTTAACAAAAACAAGACCCCAGTTTAAGCGACCTATTTTCCATTCATTTTTTTTTCAAATGGTGCCAATCCATTGCACCCCGTGTCAGCTACTTCAGGAGACAAGCCTGAAAAGGAGCCTAGGATTTGGTTTTTGGTTTTTTCCTGGTTACCAGCAAGAAGCAGAAGCGAGGCTTTTCTGATGAAATTACTTCTAAACTGATCAATTAAAAATGCCTTGGTTGGGCTGGAGAGATGGCTCAGAGGTTAAGAGCACTGAATGCTCTCCCAGAGGTCCTGAGTTCAATTCCCAGCAACCACATGGTGGCTCACAACCATTGGTAATGAGATCTGGTGCCCTCTTCTGACGTGCAGACATACAGGCAGGATGTTGTATTCATAACAAATAAATAAATCTTTAAAAAAAAAAACTGGGGCTGGAGAGATGGCTCAGAGGTTAAGAGCGCTGGCTGTTCTTCCAAAGAACCTGAATTCAATTCCCAGCAACCACATGGTGGCTCACAACTATCTGTAATGAGATCTGGTACCTTCTGGCATGCAGGCAGAACACTGTATACATAATAAATAAATCTTTTTAAAAAATGCCTTGGTTTTGCCTCTTTATGTAGTCTGGAATAACACCAAAACCTCTATAGATGGCCTTGAAAACATAATGAAAATCCTGCTTCAGTTTCCCACAGGTCTGGAATTCTCTCTCTTTTGATTTTTAATTTTGTTTTGTAGCAGAGCCTTGCCATGTAGCCTTGACTAGTCTGGTTTTACCCAGTGCCAGACTTTTGGTTCAAGTTTGCCTCAAACACATGGCAATCCTCCTGTCTCAGTTTCCTTGGTACAGGGATTACAGGCACACACCATCGTGCCCATCCTGAAAACGAATTTCGATTTTCGTTCAAAGAATTTAAATAAACTGCAAAACGTCAAAAGACAAAAAGTATGGCCCAACAGAACACTAAGAGCTTCTTCCACATACAATGTAATATGCTGAAAACATTTAATGACAACTCTATTTATCACTGTGTGATCTTGGTAATTGTTATAACAGAAGTGTTAGTCTCCCTTGGAATTTTGAGTCAGCTATAATCTTATTTATGAACTAAAACGTTTAGATCTTTTGTGTATATACACCTGTATGCATGTCTGTGTGGGTGTCTGAGCACATTTATGTGTGATGTATGTGGAAGTTGGAGATACACACGAAGCACCCTCCCTTAATACTCCTCCACTTTGATTTTGAGACCCAGTCTACTGAATCTGGAGTTCACAGGTAAGGCCAGCCCCGTCTGGCTCAGCAAGCCTCTGGGATTGTCGCGTCTCCATCTCCGTAAGGCTCAGATTACAGGCACGCCCGCTTCTTACACAGGTACGCTTCTTACACAGGTACGCTTCTTACACAGGTACGCTTCTTACACAGGTACGGAGTATCCGCACTCTGGCCCACTGCTTAAAGGGCAAGCACTCTGACCAAGCCTCTTACCAGCCCCAGCCAACATGATCTTACCTGGACACTTCCATTACTTGTGTACCAAGTCCAACTTAAAGGATGACAGTTTTGACATTCACACTTCAGGACAGTAGAATCCCCCACGTACGTGATCAATGGCTTGTTTTTTCCATGAACGCTGGGCACTAAGGAAAGGTTAGAAAAATGTTTATTGCTGAGACCGTTTAAGCGAAAGAAATGTACTAAACTTAAGGACATTTCCCCACTTCATTTTCTTCCTAACGCAACGTGTAGTCATTAGGAAATAGCAGCAACAGCAGTGGTAATAGAAGTAGCTGGATAGGGGCTGGAGAGATGGCTCAGAGGTTAAGAGGACTGGCTGCTCTTCCAGTGGTTATGAGTTCAATTCCCAGCAACCATATGGTGGCTCACAACCATCTGTAATGAGATCTGGTGCCCTCTTCTGGTGTACAAGCATACATGCAGACAAAACACTGTATACATAATAACTAAAATCTTTTTAAAAAAAGATTTAAAAAAAGAAGTGGCTGTGTACCAGTGAAACAAAAGCCTCCAGTGGTTAAAATTCTGACCACTCCACGTTTGCAGCAAGCTATGAGGTGCCTGAGATATAAAAGGAGCTTCCTGCTTTCACGGCTGTTCTTTCTTCCCACCTACTGTGGGAACACTTTTTTCACAGCTTTACCTTTATACTGCATGAGTAAAAAGGCAAAATTTTCAGACTAGAAAGTCTTTTAACTGATGCAAATTTGTAAAAAGCCAGCAGAGTTAGAAAAAGTGATAACCCAAAGGAGCGAAGGGAAGTCAGCTGTAAAGAGCAGGCGACTCTGTGGCAGAGAGCTCGTCCCATGTCCAGAGCGCGACACTGCACGGCTTAGTCACAGGCATTCAATAAACAGTCATGGGGTTGAAGAAAGTCACTGGCTGTTCTTCTAGGAGTCCTAAGTTCAATTCCCAGCAACCACATGGTGGCTCATGGCCATCTATTGTGGGGTTTGATGCCCTCTGCTGGCATGCAGGTATACATGCAAGCAGAGAACTCATGCCTAAAATACATAAATAAAAAGCCACAAGTTGAAATCATCCCTCATTGTTCCACACCGACTATGAAGATGAAGCAACAAGGATATCTTGGTTAATTTTTCTCTTTTCCGAATTTTAGGGTCTTTTCCCTAAATTTTGTGTCTTCTAACTGTTTATTAATCAGCAAGGATAGATAAAACTATCAGCTATAGATAAAAATTAACCAGCAATAACTACAATGTCTAAATATCATATTTGACACCATATTATGATGTCAATATTTTAGGGAATTTTAACTTACAGGGCAGAGATTAGAAAGATTTTCAACTCTGACAGCTAACTCCCTGGATAAAATGTGCTGTCCAAGGGCTGTTAAATTTTCTCCTACTGATGTAACTGAGCATTTGCACAAAGCATGAACTGTAAAGATTCAGACAAGAATCAAAAACAGTTTCTTCTGCGGGTTCTGTCCTTAGGTGAGCAATGCAAATGTATCTATCATTGCTGTCCCCCTTCAGGGCTACTGATCAGCAGCGTGCCATGAGGCAATGTCACTGGTAAAGAGAGGCATGCATGATGACGGATGCCACCCATTAAGACGTAAGTGCTTCAATAATCAAATAATGACGGACAGGGCAATCTCTAAGTCAGTGGGTATGAATCCTTGAACAATAAGTATTTTCCATAGTCTCTGGGGTTTGAAATCTTAGTCCCCAGTTAGTGGCTGTTTCGGGAGGTCTAGGGTGGCCTTTCTGGAGGCAGTATGTCACTGGAAGCAGGTTTTGAGAACTTAAAGACTAGTCACTTCTTTGCCTTTTCTGCTTCCTGCTTGAGGTTTAAGATGAGAGTTCTGATCTCCTGCTCCAGCGGTCACTGCCTGCTGTTTGTTGGGTGACATACTTCCCAGTCATGATGGACTCTAAGTTGTCTTGGTCATGGTGTTTTATCACAGTGACAGGAAATAACCTAGACACTGGTCCTCACGTGTTTCATAACCACAGAAACATGGTTTGATTAAGCTAAATGGCCTACAATTTTACAGAAACCAAAGATTCCAACTACCCATCAGGCATTGCAATAGAGGCAAGCACTTGACGACACTGCTGTGGGACATGATCAGAGGTGAGTATATATGGTCAGAATAAAGTTCTTGGATCCCAATTATCCAACCCAGAAGATACCCCACTAAGAGCTTAGCATTCCTTTTACTAGCTAACTCATATGCATACCTGACTGACACCTGATAACCAGTAGGTCCTTATGATTATCTTCAAAGATCAAGTATAAGGTGTTGGAAGAAGTCAGCACAATGTTCTAATAATGTAATGAAGACTTAGGGTCAAGAAATAAATACTTGACACATAATCATGGCTTTGATATGAAGATGTCTAATAGGAAGTGCATTATACTCCTGCTATGTTGTTGGAAAGAATTAAACAAAGTGCTTGGTACATGATAAATGTTACAAAGTTCAACCTTTATTGGGATCATGCCATGGTACAGCTCCTTTAAATCAAGCTTTCCTATAATTAATGGTTGTACCCTTTATGTATAATGTTACTAATTAGACATCACCATAAGAACAATTACTGTCCTGTGTGATTTTTCAGGTCAGCTAGCCTTTTGGAGCAGGAGATGAGTTCTACAGGGGAAAGACGGAGAACTATAATTCATCTATGTATGTCTTAGAACTGTGTCGATGTCTGAAATCACCTAAGAACGGGGAGGACTTTAAACTGGGTTTCTTTGCAAATCACCTAGACCTCTGGAAAAGGCGATGACAAAGACAAAAAGAGATGAATAGGAGAAAAAGGGAAAGAAGAGTGGAGAAATATTAGCTCCAGACCCTGGTGAAGGCCCTAGTCCATTCAAATACCACAAAGGAGACAACTTAGTGAAGTCACGGGACAAACTCTCCTACTGTTCTGGCCACACAGCCAAGTGCACGATGATGGATGCATGTTGTAGCTTAGCACAAATTATAACAACCTAATCCAAGATGCCCAGCTAGGTCCCTACCAAGAAAAAGAAATCAAACTGCTTTAAAAAGATCAAAACAAACTTCCTTCCAGACATATATGGAGCAGAAAGGAGACGGGGGGGGGGCACTTTACACATTCTCTAACCTAAGAGTAAAACTGAAATATCCCCCTTACAACACCCTGTTTATAATGAGAAAAGGCAGAAAAAAACAGATAGTAATCTGATAAAACCAAGAACTAAAACTTTAAGAAAATTATTTCAATCTAAATGTATTTAAATGAAAAGGGGGTGAGAGGAGAGGCCTCTCTTGTAGGTGTTCTGTCAGGCTACAATATGCCAACATCATCAGTCTAGAGCTACCGCCTCAGAACTTGTTTATAAATCCAGATGGCTCAGAAGTTGAGGAAAATAACCACCATGAGAAAATTGGAAGCCATTCTCAGATCCAAGAAGAAGAGCAGACCATCTGTCTCGATACTGATGTAACAAGTATATTTTAAGTTACTGAGGAAAAGAAAATGATTGAATGTCAAAATGTTAAAGGCTCAGTTGGGAGGAATCCCAGAACATTTTATTCTGATTTGTTTCTCATGGCAGGGTCAATTTCTTCACTAAAAAAACTGATTGCCTAAGGGTGGGCAACAATGGTCTGTGGTCTGAAGTCTCTGTTAGATGCTATATAAATTCCTTTCTTTCCACATTTCTAGCCTGGCAATACTTGCTCATACTGTGGCACACTGAGTGGTCTGTTTCCTAGAACTGGGAACTGAGAGACAAAAATAATTCCATCCCTGTTGACTCTGTTTTTTCCCAATTCAAATGAATGTACTTCCTTCTTCAGAATTGTAAGCACTAAACTGAGTTCCAGTTGTAGAGGGGCAGATAATATTACTTTGATTGAAGTTAGTAAGCCCTAGCTAGAAAAAGAAAGAAGGAAGGAAGGAAGGAAGGAAGGAAGGAAGGAAGGAAGGAAGGAAGGAAGGAAGGAAGGAAGGAAGGAGGAAAGAAAGAAGCTACCCATGCTGTCAAGTCCTCCCAAGATTTGATACAAGTGTGGTTTATACTCCTGGCTAACCAATAATCACATGATGTGGCTCCCTTTTTATGCATGGTTCCCTATCTGTGGTTTTTGTCATAGAGGGAAGAGACTGGAAAGAAGTGACTAAGCTATTCCCGGGTATCCTGACAAAGCACCCTCAAACCCCCAACAACACACCACCTTCTCACCAGGCTTCTTGACAAAATCTGCAGCGCTTGGTGAGTTCTATAACTGATGTGAAATATGATTAACAAACACCCCAATGCTTGAGGGCTGGTGGTTCACTTTAGGGAGCTGAGAGCTCACCACTGTTTTAGAAGGCATCCATTAGAGAACTACAGATCAAGCATGGATCAGAACTTTTTTCTCAAGCCACAAGGCCCCCTTCCAAACCTGAAATGGAGTTGAGCTACAGGCCCGTATGAAGCAGAGAGGGCACCTTTAAAGCCCCGTCACTGACTTCTTGTGGCAGGCTCACATTAGACAGACACTGCACAGATTCCAAAGCCCAGCACTAGCCACGACCACGGTTTCTGCTACCCCGGGCTCTCTATCTCCTGGACACTCAATTTCTCCTTCTCGGCATGTGTTTTAGCTAGGGTGTCTATTGCTATGGTAAAACACCATGACCAAAAGCAACTCGAGAAAGCAAGGGTTTATTTCAGCCTACAGCTCCCACGTCACACTCCGTCACTAAGCGAAATCAGGACAAGAACTCAAAGAGAACAAGGACCTAGAGGAAGTAACTATTGCCAAAACCACGATGGAAACTGTTTCCTGGCTTGCTCAGCTTGCTTTCTCTTACACCCAGGATCACCAACCCAGGGTTGACACCACAATCTTCTCAATCTTCTTCATGCTGCGACCTTTAATGCAGTCCCTCATGTTATGGTGACCCCCCTCAAACTATGAAATTATTTCCTTGCCACTTCATAATTGTCTGTAATTTTGCTGCTGTTATGAATTGTAATGTAAATATCTAATACACAGGATATCTGATAGGTGATCCTCCCAAAGGGGTCACGACCCACAGGTTGAGAACCGCTGGGTAGTAAACTGGGTGCGTCCCCATAGACCAACAATCAAGAAAATGCACCAAGTTAAATCAGGCAACGGAGGAAAGAAGCTAAGCAGAGAGTACACATAATGTCAAAAGAGCCAAAGAGTAGAAAACAACCAGCCACACCAAAGCTTCTAGGCTGAGCTTTCATGATTAACAAGAAGTCTCCTTGTCATTATTTGGGAGCTGGCTGGCAGGACATAGAAACGTTACATAGCATTGAAACCCTTTCCCACTGTCACATTAACACGTCAGACAGCTGTCCTAAGAGCAGAAGCAGGGTACGTTGTTCCAAGGGCTTATGCTCATGGGTCGGGCTTGACCCATGTAGTTTATGACAAAAGTAAAATAAGGCGGAGAAAAAGAAAAAGGATACCAGGTCAGTGGTGCTGCACACCTTTAGACCCAGAACTTGGGTGGCACAGGCAGGTGAGTTTGAGGCCAGTCTGGTCGACAAAAAGAAAGAAAAGTCAGGACTAGGCAGAGAAACCCTGTCTCAAAAAACAAGAACAAATAAAAAGAATAATCTAGCTCAATTTATGGCAGAGGATGAAACTGGCTTTTTATCCATAGTTATTTGTAATACTGATAAGAAAAGATCATTGTCCCTAGGAAAAACCATAAGCAAGCCATGTTGGTAATGTTTATAAAAATACACACTACTACATAAGCCTAACAGACCTAATAAAATCATAATTGATATAAACTGTTGTACAGATGCCTTTAAATTCTACTCAAATGAATAAAATTATTTCCCAAACAATAATCATAAGTGAATTACAGTTATTATTTTTAGCAAGGAATCTCTGAAAGGACCCAAATTATTAATTTTACAAATGTCTTCAGGATATAGTACATGCTTAAAAATTACATTAATGTTAAGTGTGCATTAAAAACAAATGAGTTGAGTTAAACTGCTTCAAGCGAATTTTAAAAGTAGCTATGCAATGGCTTTTTGCAGCCCTGAAAAATGATTAACAATTTTGATGGTGGTAACCCTGGTGGCACATGCTTGCTATCACTGGGGAAGCTGAAGAAGGAAGATCAGAGTTAAACATCACCCTGGGCTACATAGCAAGTGTGAGAACAGTCTGGGAAACATGAGACCCTGTCCCAAAAATACATTAAAACAGTCACGCCTTTAATCCCAGCACTCGGGAGGGAGGCAGAGGCGGGCAGATCTCTGTGAGAGTTCAAGGCCAGCCTGGTCTGCAGAGCCAGTCCCAGGACAGCCAAGGCTGGGAGGGCACAGGCCCTGGAGAGGAAATATGCTAAATACATATTTTCAAACTGGATCTAAATATCTACATTTACGACGACATATCAATGCTGCTCTCAGCATTGGTAGAGATTCCTTTTATAATGCACAGTGGTTAATGCAGAGACTAATCACGTGTGAAAGTGCTGAAAATTTTGTATTCTCAACTGGAAATTTCTTCTTTTTTTGGTTTTTCCAAACAAGGTTTCTCTGTATTGTTTTGAGAGTCTGTCCTGGCCCACAAAGGATGCTGAGCTTTGTCTATGGTTGAGTTCTTACTGAGGGTTGGGGGCAATAGGGGAGGAGAAGCCAAACACAGAGCACACATATCGTCATCCACGTATGACAAATGCTCAAATTAGAAACAGTTTTTATATAAGTTTAGCAGTGTGTAAGTGTGCCATGTTTAAAAAACAAAACTCTACAGCAGCAAAAAGTAATCAGGCTTTGGGATCACTCACCCTTCCTTTGTCAGATCAATTCCAGTCCAGCAAATTTATCCACAGGAAGTGCCCTTCTCACATGGGCCTTTTCCGTCTTTCATAATCATGTGCCTTTGTGTTACACTTGCATTTAGCACAGTGGCCTCCTGGACCTGGCTCTAGCCTAGGAGCACCAGACTTTGCCACACAGCCAAAGTCTGTGGCAGGCTACACTCTCCCCGGGGCTTACACAGAACACTGGTACCCAACGATGCAGTTCACAAGTAGCATAGGAGGCAGGACTGTGTTCTGAAATGCCCACACATGATGACACAAAACTCAGGCACCACTGGGCATCAGTGTATATGAGACTTTTGCAGTCCTCTGATACACAGTATCAAACTATTTTGTATCATCTCTCAGTCTGGGAACATAGCAACTCACAATTTGGATGACTTAGAAATGCTGTTAACCAGCTTTCTTTTAAGCCACCAAACAGCTCCCAAATCATGACACGGGGACTTATTATTAGTTATGAATACTCGGGGACTTATTATTAGTTATGAATACTCAACCTTATCTTGGCTCTTACTTTAACCTGTTTCTCTTCATCTATGTTTTGCCTCAGGGCCTCTTTACCTCTCCCTCTCCCTCTCTCTCTCTCCTACCTCCTTGCTTCTAGCTAGCTAGTGGCTGCTTGGCTTCTGACCCCAAGCCTAGATTTCTCCTCCTATTTATTCTCTCTGCCTGCCAGTCCTACCTGTCCCTCCTCTGCCTAGCTATTGGCCATTCAGCTTTTTATTAGACTAATCAGGTGCCTTAGGCAGGCAAGGTGAAACAAATGCAACATGTCTTTATATAATTAAACAGATGCAAAATAAACAAATGCAACACTTATTTACATTAAACAAATGCAACATAAAACAAATGTAACACACCTTCTCATAAAGTAATATTCTGCAGAGGGCTAGTAAATAAATTTAAGACATGTATAAAATTTATGAAAACCTTGGCAGCTGTCCTTTTGAACTAAAATCTGTATTTTTTAAACTAAGAGATAGAGGAAAAAGATTGAAGAAAGAAAGGGATGGATTGGGAAAGACAAGACCACATTCAAGGTTACCTATTGGAACTCAATGCAAAATAAATGATTTTCTTTCAGCTGAGCTACATTTATTACTGCAGTAACTACTTAAAACACAAGAGACAGAAATCTAAGGATGTAACATTATAGTTATAAATACTGACCTTTGATAGTAAATGTTCCTTTGAGCTCCTTTTCTCCAAAGAAACAAGAATAATTCCCCATTTGTTTGCTATTAGAAACGATGAACCTGGAGATAATTAGAGTTATTAATACAAGCTTACTTCTCACAAATATTTAATAAAAATGAAGTTACTAATCAAAATTTTAAAGCAGAAATAATTCTTTAAACAAAATTAGAATATTAGCGTAACATTCAGATGTCTGCAAAGGAAAAATACTTAATCAGTAGAAACACTGCAGTTAAACTGGCTATGGCTAGCAGTGTACATCCTTACATACATACCTGTACTGACTGAACAAGGTGTTTCCCTTTTTAGTTGTGTTGAAAGCATCAATATTCTCAAGAAGCTCATCGTCTTTTTTCCAAGTCACATTCATTGAGTTCAAATCTCCAGATGTTGTGAACTGGCATATGAGCGTCAGATCAGAAGGCCTTTCCAAAGCAATGTTTTTTTCTACTGCTGCACTAGATCCTTCTGCTCATTACAAAAGAACAAGGAAATGTGTTATGAAAAGTTACATTTGTAAGCAAATTCAATAGAGCTCTGTATATATGAATGCCTTTTTAAATAACATGTGTACAAACCATTTAAATTTTCAACAGTGGTCTACTGACAGATACTTAATGCCCTTTACTCAACTGAAGAATAGCTCTTCTGCAATACAGATCTGTTTCCCTTTCTTACTGACTTTTACTATCAAAGCAAAGTTTTCATGCAGCAAGGCAGTGTTGGCACATGCCTTTAATCCCAGTACTCAGGAGGCAGGGACAGCCAGATCTCTGTGAGTTCGAAGCCAGCCTGGTCTACAGAGCAAGCTCTAGGACAGGATCCAAAGCTACACAGTGAAACCCTGTCTGAAAACAAAAAAAAAAAAAAAGGGGGGGGGAGAAAAGAAGGAAACGTTCTCTTGCAACATAAGTAGAAGCACAAAAGCCTAAGACTATCATCTGTCTCCTTTACTTCTCATCAGCTGGATGAGACAGAGGAAAGAGCTTCTGAGAAATGCTCTATAAATGCTGGGACATGCCAGCCTGGGTTACACAAAAAAACAAAAACCACTATCTTGACAAAACCAAAAAAGAAATAAAGACACATTTTTTTTAGGTTCTGTGAATAGCTGCACTGAAATTTTGATGGGGACAGCACTGAATCTAGACTGCTTTTGCCACATGGCCATTTTCTCAATATGCACCCTACTAAATAAACCATGAACATGGTAACTCTTTCTACCTACTGACATCTTCAATTTCTTTAATGCCTTCAAATTTTCATTGTAGAAGTTGTGTACTTCCTTGGTTAGATTTATTCTAAGATATTTTAATTCTTTGAGGTTAATATTAATGATATTGTTTCCCCAACTTTTTTCTCAGTGTGTTTACCATCAATACATGGAAAAGCTACTGATTTTTGTTTTAATTTTGTGTCCTGCTGCTTTGCTAAATGTGTTTATCAAGTGTAGTTTTCTGGCCGTCGTTATGGTCCTTTGTGTTTAAGAATCCCATTATCTACAAATAAAGATACTTTGACTTCTCCCATTTCTGTTTGTATGGCTTTCACTTGACATCAAGCACTATGTTGAGCAGGAGATGGGGGAGTGTGTGTTTTTGTTTTACTCCTGGTCTTAGTAGAATTGTTTTTTGTCTGTTTTTCTCTGTTTAGGATGATGTTGGCCCATGTCAGGTATGGGTTACCTCTTTTGGAGTGCTGGCCAGTGAGGTCACACAGGCCCTCCAATATGGCAGAATATTGTCATTGCTCTTGGTTATGCTCCAGACCCTGACAGTGAAACCCTATTGCTAAAGACATAAAGTATTTGATGCATGGAATGAAAAAGCAAAACTAGCACTGACCTGGAAACTTCGCCCTTACTGGCTAGCTTAGACAGAGCTGAAAGGTGCTATGCATGCTACTGGAGGAGGAAAGAAACCAATCCGCTCTAGCTGTGGAATCTGCAAGCTAAAATTACAACCAGCCTGGCAAGATATACCAACCGGTACAATTGGAGGCAGGAATGTGATGGGAGTAACCAGATGCACAGTGACAAGACTTAAGGCCTGCTCTTCAAAATGAAACCCATGCCTGGCACCATTATCAGGTCCAACAATCTGTGGCTAGACAAGTTATAGGCTCTAGGCAAGAACCCACTACTGCTCCTCTGCCAATGGACCTCTGCCAGTGGGCCACAGCATCAAAGTGGCTCCCAGTGAATTAATTCTCATTATACTTCTGGTGACCTGAATGATAAATATTCCCCTTATTTGGACTCCAGCTAGTAGTGCTGTTTAGGCAGGTGTAGCCTGCCCACCAAGGGTGGGCTCTGAGAGTTATGTCGCTGCGCCCCGGGAATACAAGCTCTATCTTTGGTCCCTTTTTATACCTCCCACTGTCCTGACCACAAGGAAGTGAGCAACTTCATTTCAGTGTGTTCTTCTACCATGATGTTCTGCCTGACCGTGCTCCAGAATCAATGAAGCTAGTCCACCATGCACTGAAACCTCTCAGACCACGAGGCAAAGTAACTCCCTGCTCCTTTAAGTTGCTGCTCTTACGTATTTATCACAGAAAGAAAATGCTTTCTTACACATATTTCTATACATTAGATATATTCATAAACATATGGCTATGCAAATAAATTAAAAATACATATTTTAAGCAAAATTATTTGAGTTGCCAAAATCTTTTAAGCAAGCAATGAGCCTTCCCAAAACACTCAGAATGACTTGATTATCGAATGTCCACTCTGTGGGGCAATAGGAAATTCTTACAACACACATGGCCACAAACCTGTCTACCACATGTCCTATCGTTTCTCCAGGGGAGGGCAAAGGACAGTTAACACGTAATAGGGTGCAGATAGATATTCTAGCGCTCTATAGGTCAGGATGATAACCACCAGATACAATTAACTGTGCACTCCAAAACAGCTAGCAGATTTTGAAGCTCCCAAAACATGATGTATGTTTGAGGTGGGCATGGATTTGGCAATTGCTCGAACTTGATTACCCTGTACTGTGAAAAGGTCTCTTAAGCCATATTCATGCAAAGAACATCCAGACCAGTTGACTCTGGCTGATTGAAAGGCAAGACAAAGTTATTGAGAAGCATCTTTATTTCCACTCACTGGCCACCACTGGATTTGACCTAACACCCCTGTGACTTCTATATAAAAATCTTAGATGTACAGTGAACACTGACCCACTGCTAGTCTCTACCAACCTGAAGACTAAGAACAGGATACATTAACTTTCTCCCTAACCCTTTAGTGGCTCCTTCACTCCGTCCTTAACTCCACCTTCCCATTCCCTCATGCTCTCATCCCTCATCCCCTCCCTTCTGCCACTCCCCTCCCATCGCAGGTTACCCAGGATATCTCAACTATTTCTGCTTACCAGGGCAATCCATAACTTTTCCTGAGGAGCGGATGGGAGGTGGGTTGGGGGGGCGGAATGAGGAAACTATGGTTGGTATGTAAAATGAATAAAAAAATGTAAAATGAAGGAAAAAAAAAGGATGAATAACCCATGAATCCTAGTGAAGATTCCCACCACACTCCGATGATAGTCCCTAGCTAATGGCTCTACCAGTGTACACAGGAAATACACTGATTGGTTCATGGCTTTTTGTCCCGTAACTACAGAAGTTTATCTACCTTCTTCCACTATGGGATACTTCATTTAGGGTAACGAATCTGATGTAGCTGATCGGCGTGTGGCACTTAGTATCTATTGCCTGTAGCAGTTCTCCAGCAAAACAAACAAACATGGCTTGTTTCCAACTATGTGACTGACTAAAGCAAATGAAGGGGAAAGAAAATGTTCTCGTTGTGGATTCTCAGCAAATCAATAATAAGAAAATAACACACTACTGAACTTCAGTCAAGGCATTCTATGTCACCAAGGCCACATCCGACACAGTCATAAGAGCCAACTCCTCAACACCTGGGAGGAAGCTGGAGGGGGGAGAAAGGCTCTCTGAAATAGATTGCCTGATCTCCAGTTACTGGAAGCAGACAGAAATTTATTAAACTGTATCCCAGAGTACAGTCAACAAAATCCAGATTGTGGAGAGATCGTACAGGATGAAGAATCAGATTATTTCCTGCAGGCAACTTAAAAATGGGAGAAGCGGTATGTTTCAGAAACTTGAGGGTGACAAGTATCTTAAGAATGTCTTTTTAAAAAAAGTTAAATTTTGTGTGAGTTCCAGGATAGCCAGTGCTACAAAGAAACCCTGTCTTGAGTAACGCCCCCCAAAAAGCTAATTATTGTATTTGGTTAATGGGGGAAGTTCTGTGTATGTGCTTATCTTATTGGTTGTCGAATGAAGCACTTTTGGCCAATAGGGAAGCAAGATAGGTGGGACTAGGAGTTGAGAAGGATTCTGGGAAAGAGGGGCACAGGCAGTCACGATGTAGGCTGCCAAAGGAGGAAAAGGTCCAGACCCCTTTTTCCAGTAAGTGAAGACCATATGTACATATTCAGATTAGCAATTATGGGTTAACAATTAAGTTAGAGCTAGCCGATAAGAAATAGCAAAGGCTAACAGCTTTATAATTAATATAGAATCCTGTGTGTTATTTGGGGGTTCAGACAGCTCAGCAGAGCCCAGGAGGCTGGCGGGAAGACTATGGGTTACATTTGGTGGTGTAATATTTGCTGTACTTGAGGAATAACAATATATAAAAACAAGTTAGCTTCTACACAAATATCAGAACAATGATGGCTGGTCTGAAGTGGCACAGAAAATGCTGTATTTAAGAAGACCCTATTGCAGAAACTCACTTATCAAGTCTGGGGGGGGGGACATGGCTGGAGAGATGGCTCAGAGGTTAAGAGTACTGGTTGCTCTTGCAGAAGTCCTGAGTTCAACTCCCAGCAACCTCATGGTGGCTCACAAGTATTCATCGTGAGATACGGAGCCCTCTTCTGATATGCAGGTGTACATGCAAACAGAACACTATTCATAATAAATAAATAAATCTTTAAAAAATATGCTAGTTCACCCTTAAGGATTGCAGAGCCAAATACAAGAAAAATGCACTGAACTTAGGTGAGAAACCTTATGGCATTTAACTACATTTCAAACTTCACAAAGTGCTTTCTTAAATAGTACAAGGCACGGAGCTTACAAATGGGGAAGGGTAGCCAGTGTGAAGGGCTTTGTGAGAAGAGAGAAGTAACTGCTACTTGACTGCAAAATTGCTCAATGGAACTTATGCCCCTCCCAGGTACAGAAAGGCCTTAAGAACAGTCAGATTATATATGGGAAACCTAGTTGAGTAAAATGAAAAGGAATTTTCACACTCCTGCACATCTGCTGAGAGCCACCTACACACAAGATTATACTAGAGACTAATAATGAGAAGGTATTTCAAGGTCAACTGTATTTAGCTTTGAGCTATGTTTTCTATATGTTTTTCTCACATATAGCTCCGGGTACTCTTAAAGCTGAGTTATCTTGGTAAAACTTTATTT